GAACCAAGCTGGGCTGGCCCGCTCCCGGCACAGGCACTGCTACCAGGACGCCCACGGCCTGTTCCCCAGATGCCGAAAACATTCTCCTTCCCTGTCACCCGTGAGATGGCCTCTCTGTCCCCACCACAGCACCAGGGGGGAAGCCACAGCACCCTCCTCCTCCGCTCAAGCAGATGCCTCGCGTGCAGACAGGTTGCCGTTAGTGGTGGCTGTTCTCTTAACCCAGCCGCCAGCTATAAACCTGCTCTCAATGCACTCAGGCACAGAGCAGCATTTAGGAGAAGACGCTGCCCTCTGGGGGGAGATGGAGGTGGGGGGGACCTATGGATAGCTGAGCTGGGTCTTCCATGGTGCCACTCAGCTGCCCTTATTATATTTTAAAATGTAATAATGGAGATCTTGCTATTTTTGTCGCTGGCACAGATCACTCCTGGAGCAAGGCCATCAATCTCAAGGCGTGGAGAGGTGAAGCAGCTTGGCCAAGGTCGCGCTGAGGCGGCACCGGCAGAGAAAGGCCCTGATCCCAGCCCTGGGCACTAACCACTCAACTGCACTCCCTTTCTGAGGCCTCTTCTGAACAGCAAAGCACTGCTCCAGCCTGGACAGGTGCAGCTGGTGTGGGGGGCTTTGTTTAACCCTGGTGAGTGAGAGGGGTGGTAGTCAGGATGCTCTGAGGCTGGGTGGCTTTCTGCTCTAACCAGCATCATCAGGAGGTGTCTACGCATGTAGGAGACCGGGAAAGGCTGCGATGGGGTAGCAGAGGGGTACGTGCCGAAGAAAACGGTCAGTCCAGAGTGGAAACAGAGCAGAGAGGTCCAATGCCCTAGAACAGCAATCCTTCCCCTCCTCTCCCGACTCAACTCCCCCTTCTGAAAAATGAAAGCTCCAGCCGTAGCCTGCACCCAGCAACAGTGGGACAACCAGTACTGGTGTCTCGGCCTTATTGCGGACATGTGGCTTTGTTACCTGGGCCTCTGCCCCACACGTGGGGGCAATGAGGGAGCAGGTCAGGATAACAGGAAGGAGAAAGCAGGGGAATACTAGGGGGGCAGGAGGTGTGGGCATGGGGCATCTCAGCCCCAGGAGCTCATCATGTCATGCACGGGGAAGAGACTCAGCTTGGGTGCCTGGCTCCCCCGCAGCCAACAGAAAGGCTTCCTCCAACATTAGCACAAGCAACAAGCAGTGACGGCATCAAGCTGATCTCAAATCATCTGTCCTGATCCCCTTTGCATCAAGTGGATCCAGATCCGCCAGCTGGGAGAGAGCTGGCAGCCCTCCGCTCCCCGCACGGGCCCAGGTGGGAAGCCTGATGGAGCCTGACAGCCCTATCCATCACCGCCCGGCTGCTTTCCCCTTCCACCTGGCTGCTCATCCTCCATCACCCGGCAGGAGGGGCAGGTGCTGGCCTGCCGAGACCTCCCAATGCTGCTTGAGAGTTGATGGATCAGCAAGCCTTGGCCTGGGAGGCCGGACTCCAGCACTTTCCAGCTGAACCGGTGCCAGGGGCGGTCATGCCCCTTAGACTGAAAATATCCCCCCAGGGCTGGTCATGGCCAAGCAGCAGAGACCCGGAGTCCTGGGTGGGTGCCAGGGGGTTCATGCAGGGGCCTCTATAATGACCGCCAAAAAAGGGGGTAAGAGCTGCGGGGTCAGTCTGAGATGGGGCATCATTTGCCCTGAAAACCCCAGCTAGCAGGTGGGGGGCATGGTCCCCTCTCAGCACTGAGCAGAACCAAGATCTCAGGGGTTTGCCCTGCAGCTGCCCAGAGCTGGCCCTAACGCCCATCCCAGCTACCCATGCAGATTAATTAGGCTACAGGCAAATGGGCCATTAAGAGGAGAGAAAGGGCTGCCCTTTGCATTGGCTCTAAGGCTGCATCTGTGCGTTCCTGCCCCGATTACTTTGGGGCTTCACTGAGGTGGGACAGCCTGGAAGGCTGTAAACCCCCCGTTCCAGTTGCTTGCAACATGATATAACTGCTCTGTCTGTGCCCACCTGTGCCTGGAAGTGGGTTGCAGACTCCAGTGAGGTGCCCAGGGCAGGGCGGGCAGGCGGACGGTCCACAGTCCCTACACAGTCCATTATCCCTGATCTCCGGGCTCTGAGCATCTCCGTAGCTGCCCTCCCTGCTTACCCAGAGCTGAGATCAGGCACCCAGGGCAGCCGGTGGCATTTCAGAGTATCTTCACTGGGAACGCAAGTGGGGATGGAGGGCACACTCATGCTCGCACAGATGCTGGGGCTGGGAAGAAGGGTTAGGGTGCTCGTTACTTATTCAGTAAGTGCCTTATGGCAGGCGTCCCTGGGGGCTCTGCCCGCTCCATGTACCTGCCCCCAAGCGGGCAGCTGCAGCAGCTGCACTGGTAGCAAGAGACTCTTGCAGCTGACGAGTCCTGACAGGGCGGTGCTAGGAGGGGGCATGGGGGAGCAGAGGACTGGGGGGAACTCATGGCACAGAAGACAAGGCATGGCTGGGGGAAGCTCACTACCCACGGGTGCTGAGGCAGGGCACTGCTGAGGAAGCTCACCGCTCAGAGGGCACTGGGCCAGAGCACTGCTGGGGGAAAAATCACTGCCTGGGGCACAGCACTGCTGAGAGGAAGCTTACAGCCTAGGGGAGACTGAGGCAGGGCACTGCTGAGAGGAAGCTCACAGCCTCAGGGAGGGGGAGGGGCACACCCCACGGCAGCAGTGCCCCCGTGAGGCCGGGTGCGGGGGGTGGGGGAGGGCTCCAAACCGCAGGAAGCGGAAGGGGCTCAGTCCTGCCCTGCCCCCGCTCCCCCCTGCAGCCAGGAAAGCTGCGCTCGTGCTGCCCCCTGGTGGCTGCACTGGGCAGCATGTGCCTGGGATCAGGCCCCTCCTGCCCCTGCACTGGGAGGGGGAGGCCTGGCGACTGGGGCTTGACAGGATGATTCTAGGGGGAAGCTCACAGCCTGGGGGGACACTGGGGCAGGGCACTGCTGAGGGAAGCTGGCAGCCCAGGGGAACTGAGGCAGTTGACCCAAGGTGGTGCTGCTGGGATGGAAAACAGCTGTCCCCTCCTCCCAACCCCACCCCCCGCACTGCTGTGGCTACCTGGCTTCTGACTGCTGCTTTGCAAAGCATCAGCCCATGTCCATGTGCAGGCGTGTACACGCATGTGCTATAACACCAGGGAGGGAGCTGTTCTCTTGTGCTCCCTGGACATGCAACACAGCCAGGATGCAGTGACGGGCCTAGTGGTTAGGGCGGGTTCTCTCCCCATCCCACAGCCCCCCAGTCTCCACTGTACCTACGGCCCGAGCAGCATCCCCTGCCGCCCTCGCTAACCGGGACACTTTGAAAGAGGCTGCCAAGCAGGGTGATAGAGGCTGGAGGTTGTGCCTGGGAGGCCCTGCTTGCTGGGGACGGGGCAGGGGCGATGCATGCCAGAGCTGCCCGAGATAGCGCCCCCAACCCCTGGGCCTGGAGCACTGGGACCCAGCACCCCTGCCCATGCCAGCTGCAACAGGGGCAGAGCAGGGACCTGACAGGGGATGCCAAGCTTGGCCTAGGGAAGGGTGCAGGGTTCCCAGGCAGGCACGTCCCCTCCCAGGGGCAGGGGTGGGCAGAAGAGAAATGCCAGTGGGAAGATGCCCCTTCTGCACCAGCCCCCCCAGGCCAGCTCTGATCCTGCCCCCCAGAAGCCCTCGCTCCTCCCAGCCCCGGGACTCCAGGCCACAGGCTCCTCTCCCCGCAGTCTCCACCCTGCGGGCTGCCAGCCAGCTTGGAGGGGATGCTTGTGAGCTGAGTAATATCCTACCCTGGCAGAGCCTCTGGCGACTCCTGGAAGGGGAAGGGAGTACATGGAGCGAAGCTTTCCCTGGCTCTTTGCCGAGCAGGGAGGCTGGATGCCAAAGGTCAGGATTAAGGCATTATGCGCTCCCTTATCTCCTACCTCCCTTTAGCCCTGCCCTGCAGCCTGACATCCGAGCAACACCCGCTTAGGACCGATAGTCTCCGTTTATGTGTTAAACCCGTGCACCTTACCATCGACATGCCTCGTCCTTGCTTCAAAGGAGCTGCTCTGTCTGGTTGCCAGAGCCTCACCGGAGACGCGAGCACTAGAGCACCTGGCGTTTCTCCTCCACACACTCTTCTCCCACCTCCTTGGCTACAAGGCACAGCTCATCTTCTGCCCCGCTGAAATCCAGCAGAGATAAGACTCCCTCATGGCATCCTCGAGCGGACTGGCTCCCAAGACAGGACTTCAGCTATGGGAGAGTCTCGCCTCGTGGCCAGATGAAGGGAGCGGCCCAATGCGACCCATGTACACGGCACGAGGGGTGGCCGCGGATGAATCTGTGGATGGAGACGCACCAGCAGCAAAGGCGAAGCAGAGGTTTTCAGACCCCGACTGCACCCGGGGGAAACATTTCAGATGCCTGATTCTTTTGTCGGAGGTTTGGCTCCCCCTCGCGGGTGGGGAGCTGGCCCGGGCGATCATAGCAAACGATATTCTGCTCGGCGTCGCACATCAACGTGAAAAGGAAGCAGGATCTGAAATCTGCCGGGAGTCAAGCATGTCAGACGGAGCCTGCGAGAGGGAGGTGAGGCCTCACGGCCCTGGGGGGACATTTCCACCTTAGCTTGCTTGGCAGTTAGCAGTTTTCGGTGTTTTTCCACACGTTGCAGTTTTTAAACACGGTCATGCGCGGCCACCCCTCCCCGGGCCGCGCCGGGCGTCGAGTGCAAGCTCCGCCCCTGCCGCCACGTGCAGCAAGGAGATGGGCCGGGGGCGGGGTCTCCGCAGACCCCGCCTCCTTGCGGCGCCAAAGATGGCGGCCGGGAAATGACGCGCGGCAGCTTCCGCTGGGCAGTTGTGTGGAGGCGCGCGGGTCCCAGACCGGGGCGAGGGGGAGGGGGGCAGATGGAGGTCCGGAAGTGACGTCCAGCGCGGTTGGGCCGGGTCGTTGTGTACAGACCCGCGGATACCAAAGCGAGGCGGGGCGTCCGCAGGCTCCGCCCCGCGGCGGCCAAGATGGCGGCACGGAAGTGACGCGCGGCGGCTTCCGGCGCCGGGCCGGGCTGGCCATGGCGGCGACGCGGCTGGAGCTAAACCTGATGCGACTGTTGAGCCGCTGCGAGGCGCTGGCGGCCGAGCGTCGCCACCCGGGCGAGTGGCGGTTGGAGCAGGTCGGGGCCGGGCCCGGGGGGTCAGCGCGGCGGTGGCAGGGGGAGAAGCGCCCTTAGTCTTGCCACATAACGGAGTGTGTTTGGTTTTTTTGGGGGGGGGGTTCCTCTGCAGTACGTGGGTGCCCTCGAAGAGATGCTCCTCGAGCTGAAGAAACGCTCCAGGTGAGCGCTCCCGAGCCCGGCGCGGTGTTTTCCAGCGAGTTTGGCCTCTGCAGATTCGCGTCTCTGGCCTGTGCATGGCGGGGGGTGTGGGGCTCTCGATGTGGCTGCGGCCTGAGTCCGCACGTCCCCCGGGGCTGTTTCTACTGCCATTAACGCGCATCCGGCCTGGTAACGGCGTCCCTGGAGAAGCCCCCGCCAGAGGTATTGGTCAAGTTCATTGTCCGCGGGTAGCTCGACCGCGTGAAAGTTAGCTGTTGGGGGGCCAGGGAGGGTCCCCCTGTCCCTGAGGCATTTCTGCTCGATTTTTGTGAAATGTTTGCCGTGGGAAACGCTGAACCCTGGTTCTCGCGGTCTTTTCTGACTCCTGCAGCAAGCCGGCCCCTGAGCTGCTGAACGAATACTCCCGCAAAGTGGATTTTTTAAAGGGACTTCTGGAAGCTGAAAAATTGGTAAGGTCCATCTGTCTGGCTGTGCAGAGTGTGCTTCACTCGCGTTCAGCTTGCTGCCGTTGTGTGGGATGGCGTCTTTGTCACACGCGCTCTTTCTCAAAACCTTGCATGTGTCAGTCGAGATCTTGAATTCTGTTAGACCAGGGGTGGGCAGTTATTTTAGGCGGAGGGCCACTTACCGAGTTTTGGCAAGCTGTCGAGGGCTGCATTTCCCTCTCTAGTGCAGGGAAGCGGGAATAGCCGCATGGTCCCAGGCCAGAAGACTTTGCTAGGCAGGGGCTTTTAGTTGGTGGGGGCGGGGCAGGGTGAGCCTTGCTGCTGGGTCCTGCCATCTTTGACAGCCAGCCAGGAGCAAATTAATATTAATTTCCTAATTTTTTTAGGGGCCCTGCGGGCCATATAAAATGGCCTGGTGGGCTGGATCTGGCCCCTGGGCTGTATTTTGCCCACCCCTGTGTTAAACAAATGGCCGTGACTTCTGGCATTCCAGACTTGTCATGCCTGTGTCCCAGAATTACCTTTGAGCAGGGAGCCTTTGTGACAGATGCAGCTTGCCCTTGAGTCCGTGCTTCCTGCATGGCATGTTTCTAGAGAGATGTTTGTGCATCTGGAGAATTGGCACGTAATGATCTCTGTGCTGCAGTTTGATCTGTTGCAGTCATGGCTGTCTATGCTGTGTCATCTTGCTCCCCTCCCTATTGCTTGGGATGCAACGGTGGAGAAACTCTGAATTCTTGCCCCAGGTCACTCATTCTCCAGTGTCCCTTGCAGAGCATTGGGTTAATGACTCCTTTTGGCTGTTTCTCTTTTATAGTCATCATCAACTGAGAAGGCACTGGCAAATCAGTTCCTGGCTCCAGGACGAACTCCTACTACGACCAAAGAGCGAACCCCAGCCACTAAAACAGTTCACCTGCGGACGAAAGCTCGCTGTACGGACAACATGAGGAGTGAGCTGCTTGGCACAGTATGTTTTGCTGCTAGTTCCAGGGGGTCACCTACCTCAGCCAGGTGCTGTCCCCAGCATATGCTTTCCAGCCTTGAAGTGACAGTGTCCTCAGGGACTGCTGTTGGTAGCAGGCCTCAGGCCTGTGGTTGTCTGTGGGGGCAGGTCATAGCCAAGAGAACTCTTACAGCTTCTGAGACTTTTTTTTTTTTTTAATTTCATTCTTTTTTTCAATTCTCCTCTCAAAGTGCATGTTTTTAAAGCTGAGGATACCCCATCTCTCCTCAGTGAGAGCACAGATTGTCAGTTGGCAGCATGTTGCCTTCAAGGGGCTGAGCCTAACTTATGATCTGTGACACTCCTGGCTCCTTGTGGTGGATACAGGGCAGTTGCTCACTGTCCCAGCTGCCTGCGGAGGGTTTAGATTGAGAGTGTGGTCGGGGGTAGAAAGGTAAGAAAGTTTTATTGACTTAAGAAAAAGAAAAACACAACTATGCATAGTAACAAGACAAACGATGACAGACAAAAGCAGTTCGCGTCAGCAGCTCCTTCTGATCAGTCATCGGCAGTCCTTCTGATGCCTGATACACAGCAAGCTTCTCTTTTCACAAAGTTCAGCGAGGTCAGGCGTCCTCGGACAATGCTGTCTGAGGGGTGCCGGGAAGGACCCTGGAATGCAGTTCTTGGGCTTTTTGAGCTCCATGGGCCTACTGATCCAGGCAACAGCTAACTAATTCTTTTCACAGAGCTGCATCTTTCTTCTGAATAGTTTTCAGATATTTCAGCTAATTTATAGCTTTTAAAGGACACTGATAATGTACAACTACTTAGATTTCTTTTTATCTAACTGTTTATAGATCGACTAATAGCAATACAAGCCCTGCATTCCTTTGATAATGTAATTTTAACTGCACCACAGGGCCTTACTACTTCAAGGTTTGCTAAATTTACTAGGCTTTACTTTATACAAGGCCTCACTACATTTTAAACTATAATTAGGCTTTTAGCAATAACTTATAGCTTAATATTTAAATAAATACAGAAAAAACACTTGGTCTAATATTCATAGAGCCTTCAGCAAGCACTTTTATTACACAGGCATACTTTTCAGTTGCCACACTTGCTGACAGGAAACATTAGAAAGAGGAGGATGAGAGGTGGGGGTGAGACGTGCTTGCAGGTGGGCCCCAGTTCCATTTGTGTGCGTACCTAATCTTACTTTATCTCCTTGCCTCCCCAGGATCCCTTGTCCATCAATGGTAAGTTTCTATTTGAGAACTTGGTTCAGACGCTCAGGGTTGCACACTGGTGCAAGGGGTGGTTACAAATCAGCTGAAACCCGCTTGACCCCAGGAGTCTGTCACCGTGGAACTCCTCTGTCAGACTAGCTGATAAGACAACTAGAAGTGTCAGCACAGATGCTGGTATTGTCTAATGCCCAGTCGTGCCCTGATGTGCTTGTGCTAGGCTTCTTCAGGACAGAGAATATCTGTCTGCATGAGTCTGTTTTTAAAAAAAAAAAAAAAAAAAAAGTAGTTACCTTGGAAAGTAGTTACCTTACTTCCAACCATGAAGTAAGTCTGAATTCATGCAGACAGATATTCTCTGTCCTGAAGAAGCCTAGCACAAGCACATCAGGGCACGACTGGGCATTAGACAATACCAGCATCTGTGCTGACACTTCTAGTTGTCTTATCAGCTAGT